AAAAGTAAAAATACATAATAAAATATATAAACATTTAATAATACTTAGGGCTTAAAACCCTTTTATCCGAATTTGGGTTTGGCATAATAAAAGAATTAATAAAATAAATAAAATATAAAAACAGAAATAAATAAAAAGAAAATAAAAACAATTCTATTCTCCTAATATTAATGATAAACATTAATCTACAGATTGTTAAAATTGAATATGAAATATAATATTATTAATAAAGTTACTAAATGATTATTCTGATAATCCTTGACAATCCTACATGATTTCAAAATAGAATTCAAATTAAATAAAGAAATATATAAAATAATAATAAAGGAAAATATAGAAGAAAATCAGAAACAAAAAACAGGGAGGGTCCTTGTAAACCATTACATAACAAGTGGATCACCAGGTTGATTACCTCTTGCTAAAATTGGTAAATCATTAATTTGGTAAATCTTGTAAGCAGCAAACTAAAAGAATATAAATATGAGTCTTCCCTAATCTGAAAAGAGTGAGTTCGGAAGTTTTAATAGTAGTTTACAGTTTAAAAGATTAAAACAAAATTGTCTCTTCTAGTTAATACATAATTTAATCCTTTAATATTTACCTTTACTTTTATAATTTCTATTTTTTTTATATTTTATCTTTATATTTATTATTATATTTATTAATAAAGTTATATCGTATCAAATATCTCTATTAAATCTTTGATTTATTAATTTGTCATGTACTTCCACTGGTCAAAAATTGATAAATGATACACATATAGGATACCTGATATGTGCATGGTACGTTCCTAATATCGGGTATATATCGAGTACCCGATATGTGTAAAAAATATTTTATATATATATCAGGTACCTAATATATGCCTGATATTAGGGACATACCATGCACATATCGGGTACTCGATATGTGTATCATTTATCAATTTTCGACTAGTGTTCTTAATAATAAAACCTGAGTTAATCTTGTATAAATACTCTTTAGCATATATATCTTATTAAGTGAACAAGGTGATTTAATGTGCTAAAACCTCACAAAATAAAGAACTTATCTTTACTAGTTGAAAATTGATAAAATATACATATATCAGGTACCTGATATGTGCATAGTACATCCCTAATATCGGGTACCCGATATATATATAAAATATTTTTTACACCTATCGGGTACCCGATATATATCTGATATTAGGGACGTACTATGTACATATTAGATACCCGATATGTGTATGTTTTATCAATTTTCGACTAGTACATATAATATTTATTCAAATTCACTATTTAATAATTGAATTGAGTTGATCTTAATGAATCTCAAGAAATTCTGAGAATTATTTAAGTAGTTTAAGTTAGTTTAGTTAAAGAATATTAGTTATTCTTCAAACACTTGTCCACATATTAATGCAATAACATAATGAACATATTCCTTTATCACAATGAATAAAATTTTTGCAATCAGAATAAGTGAAATTTTCTGAAGAATAACTTGCCGGACAATACTTTTTTTCAGATATGAGACATGAAAAAGGAACATTTGTTATATTTTTTTTATTGTTTAATGTGATGACAATTATTGATTTTTCTGATTATATTTATTTATGTTTTATTTTTTAACCTTATTTTATCTAATTTTATTTGTTCTTCAAATCAAAAGCAGACTACACATACATGTTTCTGAAATTAGCCAGAATTACAGAATCACAGTATGTTGAAATACTGAAATATATTGGTATATACTTTCAAAACTGAAAATATTTTAAGCTACCAATGTCATTAAGTATAGTGGATTTTTTTATAATTATCCAATAATTTTTGTATACAGTCAACTCACTCTACAGCGAATTTAGTGACCAGGCCAATTAGACCTTCGTTATAAAAAAATTTGTTAATCTTATAACAAAATTCAAAAAAAATCCAGTATAACATATAATGAATATTTTTAGAAATTCGTTATTTATTTTATTAATAAAATCAAAATTATAATTTTATTAATTTATTTATTTATTACTATACTAAATACAATATATTTAATAATCATCATTAAAATCATCAATAAAACTATCAAGATTACTTTGCTTCATTGAAAAAAAGTGATATCTCACAGCTTCTTTTTTTAATTTTTTCACATATTTGATTTTATCTTTTTTTGTATCAAAGTTTTCCTCCTATTACTCTAAATACCAAATTATTTTATCATATGATTCAATAGCTTCATTGTGAGTAATAATTGGTGAAGGATCTGGATCTTCTTCTATTTCATCCTCTTTATTAGGAATAATTACTACTAAAATTTCATCATTAGTTCTTATTTCTATTGTAATTACTGTGCTATCATAATGAATAAATTTATTAGCACTAAGAGAATTTTCAAGATTTAATTTATCAATTAATGATTGAACCTTATTCAATTCGTTTGTATCATCTACTACAATCTCATCTATTATGTTATCTAAATTAATTTCATCTGTCATGTCATCTAAATTAATTTCATCGGTTTTAAGCAAAATACCTGTCTTTTGTCAATAATTTTTAATTGTAGATTCAGTAATATTATTCCATGCACAAGCAATATATTTAATACATTTTTTGATATTAATTTCAACTGGTTCAATACCATATTTATTATATTTATCAAAAGCTTAACATGATTATTTAAAAACAATTTTCAATACTGTGCCTAAAATTATTAAATTAGAATTATTAGAATTATTATAAATTTTAAAATTTTAAAATTTTAATTAAATAATTACATCAGGAAAATTTTCAACATTAATTTATGTAAATGTTATAATATTTCAAAAATTTATATGGAAAAAATCTGTTTTTGACTTCGCTCGTGATTTAAGTGACAGGAAGCGATTTTCTACTAAAATATTCTTAAGATAAATCGAAAGCCCTTGTTCTAGATTACATTTTTATATATTTTTAGTTTCTGTAGTATCAATATTCATCAAGATCACGACATTTAAATTCAGACATCTGTAAAAAGCTTTGATAAAAACTTTTCATCACAACTTTGATGAATATTGATGATACAAAAAAGTAATACATATCAAAATATAATTCAGAACCATGGCTTTCGATCTATCTTAGAAATATCTTAGTAGAAAATCACTCGTTGTCACTTTAATCACGAGCGAAGTCAAAAACAAATTTTTTCTACATAAATTTACATAATTTCAACCTTGAAAATTTTCCTAATGCATAAAAGATAAATTTATTTACCTTAAAACTATTAATAATTCCTTGATCACAAGGTTGTAGATGTGCAGTAGTATTTGAAGACAAAAATTCAATAGTAATATTTTTAACTTGTGTAGTTTCATAAAGAATATGTGTATGTACTGTTAACCTTATTTCTTAATTTTTATATATATATATTTTTATTAGCATTATTATATTAGTTTATTAGTTAGATTTCTTTATTTGTATAACATTATATA